TCAGGAGGAAGAACCAGAAGAAACTCCTGGCCCAGGTGTGAATGCTGTTGTCATTTGGGAGTGTTAGCTGAGGCTGGAAGATCTCTGTCCCTCCTTATCTCTAACTCTGCCATTCAAATAAAAATGTTTATTTTCAGTGATGATTTCATGGCGCTGAGTTAGAAGCTGTGGGCCTTCAGGCTGCTCGTGGGGAGGCTCAGGCAGGTCCCGGGGAGCCCAGAGCTGTGGGCCGCGTGGCACTCGGGCTGTGAGGCTGGCAGGCTTCCTTGTCCTCGACAGAGGGAGGCAGGAAAGCAGGGGGCTGTCCTCTACTGCCTTCCCAGGCCACAAGCAGGGAGCTGGATGGGAAGTGGAGCCCCCAGGACTTGCACTGGAACCAGTGCATTGATCGGGTATGCCGCCCTTGCTAACGGTGGTATGACCTGCTCTGCCACAGGCCCCTGAGCAGGAATAACAATGTATACTCTCACACAGGAGGAAACAAGGGCTCTAAGAGCTCACGTGACCTAGCCAGGCCGCTGGCCAGTCGGTGCTGAACCCCGTGGTCCCAGTGTAAATGAGGGACAGAGTAAGAGCTGTGGGCTGGTGACCCAGGAAGGGGCAGGAGCCCAGGCATGCCATCCACGCCTTCCTAACCCAAGTCCATTTTTGCTTACTGAAACCAGAATGAACAGTGCATCGGGCCAACCGTGGGCGATCCTGCCTGTCCCAGCTGGCAGGGCCTTAGGTTTGAGCTCGGGGCTGTCGCCAGCCCAGGCAGGGGACACTCGGGCCTGAGGCTTTTACTCTTTATGATGCCACCTGTCCCAAGTGGTCCCAAGGATGCCAGACCATTTCACGCCCCTCCGGATCATTTTTTCCTAAAAACAATCATTTGGGTAAAGCAATGGAGGACTTCATTTGTAGCCTTGGCGTACCCCCATACAAGCACATTTTCTCAGCCCCCTTCACTTAGACCCTGAAGTTATCTGCTTCAAAGGCCCATTGGGAGTCCCTGTGGCTTCTGACCTGTGACACAGTATGCTAGGGCACCCTGTAGCCTGGCCACACGTGAACCAGCGCTCCCCACTCAGGCCTGTGAGGAGCGAGTGGGGGCCCTGTGGCAAAAGGGCAACAGCAGAACAAGAGAGGTGTGTTAATTTTTTTTATAAAGATTTATTTTTATTATTTTTTTATTGGAAAGGCAGATATACAGAGAAGAGAGACAGAGAGGAGGATCTTCCATCCAATGATTCACTCCCCAAGTGAGCGCAACAGCCAATGCTATGCAGATCCGAAGCCAGGAGCCTCTTGCGGGTTTCCCAAGCAGGTGCAGGTTCCCAAAGCTTTGGGCCGTCCTCTGCTGCTTTCCCAGGCCACAGGCAGGGAGCTGGAAGGGAAGCGGGGCCGCTGGGATAGAACCGGCGCCCATATGGGATCCTGGGCGTGCAAGGCGAGGACCTTAACCACTTGCGCCACCACGCTGGGCCCATGTGTGTTAATTTTTAAAAGTTTTCTTTTAGGGGTCTGGCATGGTAGCCTAGTGGCTAAAGTGCTTGCCTTGCATGCACTGGGATCCCATATGGGTGCTGGCTCTAATCCCTGTGTCCCCACTTCCCATCCAGCTCCCTGCTTGTGGCCTGGGAAAGCAGTGGAGTATGGCCCAAAGCCTTGGGACCCTGCATCCATGTGGGAGACCTGGAAGAGGCTCCTGGCTTCAGATTAGCTCAGCTGCATCCATTGCAACCACTTGGAGTGAACCAGCAATGGATAGATCTTCCTCTCTGTCTCTCCTCCTTCTGTATGTCTGACTTTACAATAAAAATAAATCTTTTAAAATATATATTATATTTGAAAGGCAGAGTTAGAAAAGCAGAAAGGGCTTCTATCTGCTGTTCACTCTCTAAGTGGCTGCAGTCACCAGAGCTGAGCCAATCTGAAGCCAGGAGCTTCTTCCACATCTCCCACATGAGTTTGGGGTTCCAAGGACTTGGGCCGTCCTCTGCTGCTTTCTCAGACACATTAGCAGGGAGCTGGGTGGGGAGTGAAGCAGCTGGGGCTCAAACCAGTGCCCATATGGGATGCTGGTGATGCAGGGGGAGCCTTAGCTGCCCGTTGCTCTGTTTCTGATCCAGCTTCCAGTTATGTATAAGCAGGAAGGCAACAGGTGATGGTTCAAGTCCTTTGGTCCCTGCCACCGCTGTGGGAGATCTGGCTCCTGGGATTCCAGGCTGCTGGCTTCAGCCCTGTGCGCTGCTGGCAGGCTTTCGGGGAGGGAAGCAGTAGGTGGAAGAGTTCTGTCTTCCAGGTAAATAAGAATGTTATGGGTGTGTCTCCTTTTGAGAGGCTCCCCACCTCCCAGCTCTCTCTCGGGAGGTGCTTTCTCCTTCCCTGCTCACCTAGTCCTTTCGCAAATAAACTTTTCTGTCTGAAAAAAAAAAAATTCTGAGACAGACACACCTGAGGGCAGCTTTGGAGCCGGAAATGAGGGACCAGTTTGCTGCCCGCAGCCCGTCCACCTGAGGCTCTGTTGGGATGAGCAGCAGGCACTCCGTGAAGCCGCAGCTCCCTTGTTGAAGCTCCGTGTGGTTTTTCTTTCATTCCGTCTTCTTTGTCAGAGTATGATCTTGTACCACGAACTCTATGTAGACAGGGCTGTGCCTGTCTTGTCCCGGAGGGAACAGAGCACAGGGCAGGTGCACACAGGTACTTTGCAAGGTTTCTGAGATGGAATTAAAACCCAAGTTTAGGGCCCGGCGCGGTGGCGCAAGTGGTTAAGTCCTCGCCTTGCACACCCGGGATCCCATGTGGGCGCCGGTTCTAATCCCGGCAGCCCCGCTTCCCTTCCAGCTCCCTGCCTGTGGCCTGGGAAAGCAGTCGAGGACGGCCCAAAGCTTTGGGACCCTGCACCTGCGTGGGAGACCCGGAAGAGGCTCCTGGCTTCGGATCGGCATAGTATCGGCCCGTTGCGCTCACTTGGGGAGTGAATCATCGGACGGAAGATCTTCCTCTCTGTATATCTGCCTTTCCAATAAAAAATAATAAAAATAAATCTTTAAAAAAAACCCCAAGTTTATTTTGGTCCAAACACATTTGAAATTGTGCATGGTTTTCGGATGAGACAGACTTTTTGAAGATCCCTTAGAGTTGTTGATTGCAATTTGTTGGTTGGCACCCAAATATCTCTAATCCCATTTCCCCAGAGGCTTGGAGAAGTGCCCTGTTGCTCAGTGGCTTCTGCTGAGTGCTTGCCGTGGCATAGGGCCAGGTTTAATGTCACCACCATGCTGGAAGGTGCTATCATTCCTATCATCTATGCTAGGTGCCTTGGGAACTTTAGACTTGCTCTGAACACACAGCACAAACTGCCGCTCGGCTATATGACCTGTAATTAATCTTATCTCCACGTCCAACCCATAATGCAGGCCGATTTTTGTTTTGTCTTTGAAAATGAAAATGGGGCATTCTGAGCTGTGAACTCCCTTGGGAGTTTGACATGTAGTGTCAAAGCCCAGAATTGCTCGGGAGATTCTTGGTTTGAGCGAGGTTGAGCCCCCAGCCTCAAGGAGCCAGGCTGGGGCTGCAGTGGCCTGCTGCTTCTTGCACTGGCTCTCCTGGCTGCAGAGTTGTGGAAGGATCAATGGAGACCTGACCAGGAGAAGTTTACATAGAGATAGTCCTTTCTTAGTTGGGGAAGAGGAGGTGGAATGAGTGAATTCATCCCCAGGGCCCAGAGCAAGCAAGGGTGTGCACGGAGGGACCAGCGTGGCCATCTGTGGCCATTGCAGCACCGTGCCAGCCCTGGCTGCGGGGCCCTGGAGTATGTCAGGTTGTCATCCCTCAGCATGCTAGCTGCTCTGCCTGAGACGGCAGCACACGTTCAAGGTGCAACAGAGGGCCTCGGGGGACTTCTCTGGCCCTGGAGCGGCAGAGTGGCTTCCTGGAGATCACAGCTGTAACACTGACCTCCTTTGCCGTCTTCCTATCCAGCAGGATAAAAATAGCTTTTGAAAAAGACCTCTCGAGAGCATCCTGGGAACCCAGCCGCCTGAAATGCTCGCTCTTGAGTGTCTGTGGGCCCGCTGGCTCTCAGCACTTGTTAGCTGCTGATCTCGGTGGAGCACGCTTGTGAGGGCTCTGGACAGAGTGGGGAGGGAGTCCTGGCCCCACAGGCAGGAGCCTGCAGGGAGAAGAGGTTGGGGGGCTTGGCCTCTGGCCCAGGGGCTCGGAGGGGGCAGTTACTCTGCTCTAATGGGCAGGGACAGAGGAGTGAGATGAAGAAATGGGGCCATGTATACCCTGTATGCTGATGGCTTTGAAGGCTGGGACCTTTATAAAAATTCACTTATTTTCACTTGGAACTCAGAATCACACAGAGACAAGGAGAGAGAGGTCTTCCATCCACTGATTAATCCCCAAATGGCTACCATGCCAGATCTGCATTGATCAGACCCAGGAACTTCTGTCTTCCATGTGGGTGCAGGGGCCCAAACATGGGCCATCCTTCATTGCTTTCCCAGGCGAACTATCAGGGAACTGGATTGGAAGTGAAGCAGCTGAGACTCAAACCAGAGCCCATATAGGATGCCAGCACTGCAAGTGGAGGGTTAATTAGCTATACCACAGTGCTAGTGCCCCCATGCCCCCTTTTTTAACCCTGAATTTTATGATCAAGAGTGGGGACATAAAGAATGCCAGAAAGCAGAGCTGCTAGGAGAGACCAAGTTATCTGAGGGACATTCCTCATGGATGTTCTTACCTCTGGGCCATTTCGGCTCCTTGATACATGTATATATATATATTTAACGTTAAAAATACTAGGGGATATTTCAGGAAACAAGAGATCTGTATTTGCTCAGAACAAAAATAGCACAGCGATGTGTAGGTGCTTCCAGGAGCTGCTCATCATGATCGCCAGCAAGTCAAGGTCAGATGTCTAGGGGAGCCGGCAAGGAGGACTCTGGGAAAATCTCCCCTCCCCCAACCCACCAACTCACACACACCTCCCGTCTGCCCTGCAGGACGCCTGGGGGAGATGGTGTAAAGTCCTGTGGCTGAGGCCCCCTTGCCTGGGCGCCCAGGTGGCCTCTGCAGCGCCCTGTCCCCCCAGGGCTGGCCCCACAGGGTGGACGAAGGTTGGGTGATGCGGCTGGCTGAGAGCTGTGATTTCAATGAGGAAGGTGGCAACATGGAAGACACAAGGTTCCTGTGGGAAATGGGGTTGCTGGGAAGGAGGAGGGGCGCCCAAGGGAAGGGGCCCGGGTCCCTTTGGGCTCTGGCCCCCGTGGCGGGCCCGTCTGTGTTTGCAGTTCGTGGGTGTTTGAATGTGGAAAACATGATGTGCAGGCCGAGTTGAGCGTGGGGCTCAGCAGGCTGCATGCCCGGAGCGTCCCCAGATCAGGTGCACTGTTGTCCTGTATACACTGATAGGTCATCTCCCTCTCTGTTTGATGATTGGTTCCCTAGGGCAGGTGCGGGAATGGTGGTTGTATGACAGCCCCCCAAGTCTGGTCCCCAGGAAGAGGAGAGCGGGGGAGGCAGGTGACGGTGAGACGGTGAGGGTTCATCTGACTCTCTCCTCTTCTGAATCTCATTCTTGCTTGAGCCAGAGACAGGGGACATCAGCTGGCAAGGGTAGAACTCAGTCTCCCCATCCCCACCCTTATTCCTTGAAGCTGTCCTCTCTCGTCATCATAGCTATTTTTGATAATAATTGATGCCTTTAAAATTTTTACTTTATAGAGAAAACAGACTGAAGAAACACAAAACTCTGCTTGCTGAGGGCTCCTGTCTGTTCTTTGCTGGTGTTCATACTGTAGTCTGCAGCTACGGGCATAAACTGCTGCTTGTGGTGGTGGTGGTGTGTATACGTTCACTTGTTCGTTGAGGCAGGAGCTGCCGACATCCTCAACCACGTGGAAGGAATTGCCAGGCTGTCCTTGGCAGCTGCCAGTTTCCTGCTCCCCCCACCCCTGCTGTCCTGCTGGCTGTGTGGCCACGCGGTCCACCTCTGCTATCCACCAGTAGGTGCGAGGTGATCCAGGCACCCGAAAATGTAATTCCCAGACTGGATTGGGAGTTGGCAAAACTGAAGCCCACAAGAAAGTGAGCAGAGACTCTGCACTGCTTGTGGCTTCCTGGTCATGCTTAGGTTTAAAGTCTTTTTTTTTTTAAGGTTTATTTATTTATTGGAAAGGCAGATATACAGAGAGGAGGAGAGACAGAGAGGAAGATCTTCCGTCTGATGATTCACTCCCCAAGTGAGTGCAACAGCCAATGCTATGCCGATCCGAAGCCAGGATCCAGGAACTTCTTCCCGGTCTCCCGCACGGGTGCAAGGTCCCAAAGCTTTGGGCTGTCCTCAACTGCTTTCCCAGGCCACAAGCAGGGAGCTGGATGGAAAGTGGAGCTGCCGGGATTAGAACCGGCGCCCATATGGGATTCGGGCACGTTCAAGGTGAGGACTTTAGCCGCTAGGCCACTGTGCCGGTTTAAAGTCTTAAAGGGCGCACATCTCTGCTCCGCGTTGGATGGCTTGGACCACAATCTTGCTGACTCGCTGCCCTTGCCTCCCAGGCCATGGCAGGGAGATAAAGGCATAGAACCCTGGCTGAGCACTCCCACACCTCCCCAAGCCAGGCTCAGGGACCCACACTCTGCTCTCTGGCTCTCCCTGCCTGCAGCCTGCTAGAGGAACAAGTGGTTTTGGCTCCAGGTCGCTGGGGAGGGGCTGAGGTGGAGTCTAGGGCCTAGTGGGACTGGCTGGGGCAGAATGGCTGTGCACAGACGGGCTGGTGCCTTCCCAGGGCTCCCCAGACCCGGGCATCGGGCAGCCTTTTCACCTCTATCCTTCATTCTTTTAAAATCCTGTCCATAGTTGATAGATCCAGTTTTGGCTGGAGAGACCCCCTCCTGCCTTGCCGACACAAGCTGCTGCCCATGTGTCCCCAGCACAGCAGCCAGGACAAGGCAGGTACTCCATAGGGCTTTGCAGTTGGCCACTGTCTCCCCTCTGCTGGGCTGCTGGTAAACTGCATGACGAGCTTGTCCTCACAGGGGGCAGGTGCGGGGGTCTGGCAGCCTGTGCAAACCTTGGTGATCTGCTGTTTGTTCTGGTTGTATTGTTTTCTTTTTAAGTGAACCTGGCTAAGTAAAATTTTATTGACTCACATGTAACATGCATTTATAATCCTCTACCTGGTGGAAAAGACCTACGAGAGGCTGACTGACACCCAACTCAAGGGACATGCCTCTGTTGACTCTGCTTTGTCCATGTGCCTTTCCAACAGCGCTCCCGGGCCCCTGACAGGAACCTCTGACAGGATTCTTGGTCCCACGTGCCGGGAACTCCATTCAGGCCCTTGGCAGATGGGCATCAGCACCGCTCACTAGCCGGCAGGATGGAGACCACACCCCTGAATTCCCAGACGGCGTGCCCGGTGGGCCAAGACAGAGAGGACTGTCGAGAAGATGCTGTGCTGCACAAGGGTGTGCCTGCAGACAAAGCAGAGTCAAGCCACATGTCCAATGGGTACTCAGGGGTTCCCAGCCCCGGGGCAGGAGATGACACTGGGCGTGCCATCTTGGGTGCCACCACCACCTTGGTGGCTGAGGCTCAAGGAGAACGGGAGACCTGGAGCAAGAAGGTGGATTTCCTCCTCTCGGTCATTGGTTATGCCGTGGACCTGGGCAATGTGTGGCGCTTTCCCTACATATGTTACCAGAATGGAGGAGGTCAGTATCACGGACTGGGACCCCGGGTGGGCTGGAAGTCATTGCAAGACCAGCAAGTGGATTGTAGGGTTTTTTCGTCCCCTGAGTAGTTTAAGTGATGAGCCTGGGAGCATGACCACTGAGGTTAGACAAATGTCTAGAAATCCAAGAGCCACAGTCGGCATGGCTGAGGTTTCCTGGGCTCTGTCGGCTGGATGAGAACGTCCCAGACCTGACCTCATGCGTTCTTAGCATCACTAGTGCTGCCTCAGGCATCCTGTGTCCCTGGGTGATGCCCTCCTGTCTGCCAGAAGTAAGGGCCCACCAGCACTGCAGTGAGTCCCTTCTCTCCTGGTAGGGAGTCCTGAGGGGTGAAAACTGCATGAGGAAGACTGGGGAGGAGCTGCGGGCTCCCAGACCCTACTGAGCTGGAGGAGGACAGAGACGGACATGGACGCAGGCCCCAAGCCTGCAGTTACCAATCTGAGCGCAAACCTAGCATGGCATGCATGGGATTGGATTTTTGGGGTCAGAGACCAGATCTTGCCCCTCTTTGTACTCCGAAAGCCTTCAGAGCTGTGGATGGTGGATTTGTAGGCCTGAGTGGGAAGCAGGTGGCAGCTGAACGGGGCAGGAGTAGAGAGTGGGAATGGCTTCTGTGATAAAACTGTACCTGTCTGTCACACTGAGTGTCAAATCAGCCTATTTATTTTTGGACAGTTTCAACAATAGATTCGGGCAGGCTAGCAAACAGACTTAAGGATAAGTCATTTGTGTCACCCTCATTTCTTGTAGCTGCACCTGCATCTCTGATATGGCCCTTGGGAAGCCCAGTTTCCTGCCTGGGAGGACTCGGGGCCAGAATCACGTTATCTCCAGGCTGGGAGGATCCACCTTTGAGCATCACAGGATGTCTGGGTCCAGGGCAGGTTCCCCCTCAGCTGACCGCTGGATGGTTCCTCAGTTTCCATCCAGCAGCCAGGTGGAAACAATCCTCGTAGCCACACCTGCAAAGGTGGCTTGCACAGGATTGTTCTGGCCTGCTGGCATGAGGGTAATAAAGCTAAGTTACCCCATTTGGAAGACTGGGCTCCTGGTCTGGGGGGGGGGGCCCAGGAATCTGGGTTTGAGGTGTGTATGTATGTGTTCTTTGAAAGACAGATTTACAGGGCCCGGCGCGGTGGCACAGTGGTTAAAGTCCTCGCCTTGCATGCCCGAGATCCCATGTGGGCGCCGGTTCTAATCCCGGCAGCCCCGCTTCCCTTCCAGCTCCCTGCCTGTGGCCCGGGAAAGCAGTCGAGGATGGCCCGAAGCTTTGGGACCCTGCACCCACGTGGGAGGCCCGGAAGAGGCTCCTGGCTTCGGATCTGCATAGTATCGGCCCGTTGCGCTCACTTGGGGAGTGAATCATCGGATGGAAGATCTTCCTCTCTGTATATCTTCCTTTCCAATAAAAAAATAATAAAAATAAATCTTTATAAAAAAAAAAGACAGATTTACAGAGAGCTGGAGACCATCCACTGGTTTACTCCCCAAACAGCCACAATATCTGGAGCTGAGCTGATCCAAAGCCAGGAGCTTCTTCTGTGTCTCCTACATGGGTGCAGGGTCCCGAGGTCCTGAGCCATCCTCTGTTGCTTTCTCAGGACATAAGCAGGGAACTGAATCAGAAGTGGAACAGCCAGGACTAGAACCAGCACCTATCTGGGAGGCTGGTGCTGCAAGGTAGAGGATTAGCCTGTTGAGCCAGAGCAGTGGCCCCTGGGTTTGAATTTTTCCACTCACCAGTGACCATAGTGTGTGACCAGTCAAAGAACCTTGGCTCTGAGCCTTATCCTGCTATGGGAGCATGTCGGAGATCAGAGAGAAGTTATCTTGAGCTTCTCTGGATGTCACAATACCATAGCTTGAGGCAAAGCACCAAGACCAGGAAGCAAGGTGGGCAACAGGGCTGGCCGGCAGGGTGGCTGACACAGCAGGTGGCTTTATGACCCCGCAAGTGGCTGTGTCCAGAGCTGTCTTAGGATGGGCATGGGTAGGTACTGAGATTGCCTTTTGTCTGCCGCAGGCGCGTTCCTCATCCCTTACACCATCATGGCCATTTTTGGGGGGATCCCACTGTTCTACATGGAGCTTGCGCTGGGCCAGTACCACCGGAATGGATGCATTTCCATATGGAGGAAAATCTGCCCAATTTTCAAAGGTACCTGAGGGTGTTGGGTGGACCTGATGTTCATCCCTGGGTGGGAGCTGGGTACCCTCCCCCAGAATCTGTCAGGCCTTGGAGGCATCTGTCAGAGAACCTGAGCAAGTTTTTGACTCCTCAAGTAATATGAAGTTGTCAGTAGGTGGCAATAAAAGTAAGCTGAAGTGAATTCACATACTAAAGCAGGAAACCTCACAAACACACATGGGTAACAGACTGCATTGCCACTTTCCAGCTCCTGGGGTCCTTGGGGGCAATGGAGTGATGGTGGCTCCCACTCTTGCCCCTCCCACAGTGTGTGGAGTTCTGTGCCCTGTCTTACCCTCTCCCTGTCGGGCTGCCCACTGAACTTGGCCTTCCTCCCCCACCTCCCCAGGGATCGGGTTTGCCATCTGCATCATTGCCTTTTACATCGCCTCCTACTACAACACCATCATGGCCTGGGCACTCTACTACCTCATCTCCTCCTTCACGGACCAGCTGCCCTGGACTAGCTGCCAGAACGCCTGGAACACTGCCAACTGCACCAACTACTTCTCAGAGGACAACGTCACCTGGACGCTCCACTCCACGTCCCCAGCAGAGGAGTTCTACACGTAAGCGAGGAGCGCTCTGCTAAGGGCAGACCACACCCCTGGGATTCAGTTCCTAGAAGGGCTGGTCAACTCTCTTCCAGCAGGCTTTTGAAAGATGAGGCCATCCAGTGTTAGGGGAACTAACAGGAGTGAAGAAGTGGTGGGGCTGGTCCCCAGGCAGGATAGGGAGTTGGGAAGCATTTAAATTTTTTTTCACTTGAGGGCCTTGGGCGAAGGCTCAATGGCTAAATCCTCACCTTGCAAAAGCTGGGATCCCATATGGGCGCTGGTTCATGTCCCAGCTGCCCCACTTCCCGTCCAGCTCCCTGCTTGTGGCCTGGGAAAGCAGTTGAGCAGCAGCAGCTCCTGGGTCCTGATCGATTTCAACTCTGGTTGTTCTGGTCATTTGGGGAGTGAACCAGCAGATGGAAAATTGTTCTCTCACTCCTTGTCTTTGTAAATCTGATTTGCCTTTCCAATAAAAATAAATGTTTTCTTTTTCTAATTTGAAAGACAAATATTTTACCTGCTGGTTCAGTCCTCAACTGATTGTGAGGGCCAGAGCTGGGCTGATCTGAAGCCAGGAGCTTCTTCAGGATCTCCTACATATGTGCAGGGGCCCAAGGACTTGGGCTATTTTCCACTGCTTTCTTAGTCCATAAGCAGGGAGCTTGATGGGAAGTGGAGCAGCTGGGACATGAACCGGTGTCTATATAGGAAGCTAGCACCACAGGGGTGGCTTTGACTGCCCTGACACTATGCCTGCCCCACAGTTGGGGAGCTTTCCCCAACTGTGCTTCATAATTTGGCTTCCCTGGTCTGTCCTTGTGCGCCAACATGCTCAATATGATCCCCTCCCCTCCTTCACAATGCAGAAAGTCTCGCTGGGTTCTTCTTTCAGCCAGCTGCCATGGAAGTAATGTGTCCATGCTTCTTGAATAGTTTGAAACTATTTGAGTAGTTTCTGGTTTAATGTGTTGGCTCTATCCAAGGGCATAAAGTCACACTTGAAGAAGTCACATACTTGAATAAAATATTTTTTAATGCTGGAAGTTCAGGTACGGGAGCTACGTTGGGGTATGGGAGTACATCTGCAACCCCTACATACAAATCTTCGTGCAGGCAAAGACTAACCATCATGGTGGCCATGGGGACCCAGCTCACAGCCAGCAAAGGAACACTTGGGAAGTCAACTTTGGGCCAAACACTGTTGCAGGGCAGTTGGTCCAGTGTGGGCAGGGCTGGTGCCAGTCCTTCCTAAAACACTGGCCATTTGGTCCCTGTGGTGCAGAGTCCTTTACCTGCAGGCACCTCCTGGAGGTGTTGCTGTGTGGGTGCTCAGGCCGTTGTCTGGGTCTTCCCCTGCAGGCGCCATGTCCTGCAGATCCACCGGTCAAAGGGCCTCCAGGCCCTGGGCGGCATCAGCTGGCAGCTGGCTCTCTGCATCCTGCTCATCTTCACCGTGATTTACTTCAGCATCTGGAAAGGTGTCAAAAGCTCCGGCAAGGTGAGCCTGGCAGACAGGCGTGGTGTCCTTTAACACCACACATATTCTGTGATGCTCAGTTTACATGTTAGGAAGTTCTGGAAATGGGTTTATCTCAAGAGCCATGACCTCATTTATTCTTCAAAGTTCCTATAGCTTGTTCCTATACACTACTGTCACAGTAGCAGCAGTGGTCACTGACCTAGGCATGGCTCATTCTTTTGCTTCCCCCAAGATCTTTTCCCCATTTCCTAGACCTGCTGCTGGCTCAACGCTGGCCACACTGTCAGCGCTCTGTCCCTCTCTGAAGCCTGTGGTCTTTCTTCCATGACACCTTTAACCCTACAGCGACAGGAAGGCACAGAGCTTCAGCATGACGCTGACCCCCGCCCATCTCTACCCTTGTGTGTGGATGACCTGTTTCCACTGTGCTTCCAGGTGGTGTGGGTGACAGCCACCTTCCCATACATCATCCTGTCCATCCTGTTGGTGAGGGGCGCCACTCTCCCAGGAGCCTGGAGAGGTGTTCTCTTTTACCTGAAGCCCAACTGGCAGAAGCTCCTGGAGACGGGGGTAAGACAAAAAGGGGGTTGGGGGTGTCATTTTACTGAATGAAGCTAGTCCTTCTCTGAATAGGACAGTAGGGATACATGAAATGCAGTGTCAGTGTGCAACCTGTGCTCATGCTTTACACCAGAAAGACAAGTGTAAACACTACAGCTGAGTCCACAGGATGGGTTGATGACTAAAGGGAGAGAAATTGCATGTATTTGCACTTGCCATGTGGCCATCCCTGGACTGAGCCTCCAAAGCTAGTTTTCCTTCTCTCTGAACAGCCACTTCAGTGCTGAGGTGTGCTGGGCTGGCAGTGCCCAGTGCAGTCCTCTCACCCCCATGCCTATGCCCTTCCCCACTGCTTTCTTCCAGGTGTGGGTGGATGCCGCTGCTCAGATCTTCTTCTCTCTAGGCCCAGGCTTTGGGGTCCTGTTGGCTTTTGCAAGCTACAATAAATTCAACAACAACTGCTATCAGTGAGTATCAAGAGCCTCCCCCACCCTGGCCTGAGCAAAGCCTAAAAGAGTGAGTACAATTCCGTCAGTGTGGAGGAAGGCTACCTCTGACCCCGGTCTCCAAGCTGGCTGGGCTCAGATGATAACTGCCCATCAAGGGTGTCATGGGCTCCTGGACAGTTCACCCATGGCCACAGCACACTCCCCCTGCCCACATCAACCTGTCCTTGTCCCCAGGTATGTGTGTGATCACAGCAATTGGTGCTTCCAACCCACGAGGCTGGACTTCGGAAGGCAGGGAGGGAACAGGCTTGGGACTCTCCAAGCACAGTCTCTGGCCCAGCCAGGCCAGGCCAGCTTAGCAGGGCAGACAGACAGACAGACACACACACACACACACACACACTTTACAGGTTCCCCACCTCGGAACTGTCTCACCCTTTCCATTTTCTGCTGCAGAGATGCCCTAGTTACCAGCGTGGTGAACTGCGGGACAAGTTTTGTTTCAGGATTCGTCATCTTCACGGTGCTGGGGTACATGGCAGAGATGAGGAATGAAGATGTGTCTGAGGTGGCCAAAGATGCAGGTAGGGCCTCAGGGTCTACACAGATATCTCACTATTGAATCATTTCTAAATGTCCCCTTAACATTATCCAAAGGTTTGGGAGACACACACGCCTTGGACATCTTGTCCCTTCCATGTGGTCAGGCCATGCGAGCGGGAAGGGTAGGTGAGGCAGCTTCCTGGCACACCCAGGACTCGATGGGGCTTTCCATGGCTCTTGGGCCTGAAAATGACTTGGTTGATGGCTTTGAATCCAGCGGGGTAGGGTCCTGGGATGGGTGCAGTCTACTGGCCAAACAAGGTGAGTCCTCAGAGCTGCCCTTGTGGAAATAGAGCAGGCAGCTGGTGTGGCTGCTGTTCTGTCCTGGAAGGTTTCCATGAAAAAAAAAAGGGCAACAAAGGCTGAGAAAGTGGGGAGGAGACCTACTGCCTGGAGCCCAGGGTGCTGTTGCAAACACACTGGTGCCTTTGGCCTGCTGTGGTGCTGACTTGACCAGCCCTGTATCCCTAACAGCAGCACTCCTGGCTGGCCTGTAAGAGGCAGAGGACATGTCTCTCATACTACCCACTGGGACTGTATGTTAGCAGGAGGTCACTGTAACAAAGTCCCCTTCCCCACTAGGAAAAGAAACAACACCTCCTCCTCCTCTGAATCAAAAGGTCTCAAAGCCTGCTGAAGGCTGGGCAACCTTACAAAGAGCAGTGGTGGGGTAGTGGGAACTCGTCCCTGGGCACAGCCTTGCTAGTCGGAGGGTCCCTGGGGATGTGTCCTGAACACCCCCTGGTTGAGGGCACACAATTTTGAGGATGTTGGGGTGGCCAGGTAAATGTGTGTGGGGTGTGAGGAGGCAAAGTGCTAGGTTCCCATGAAAGCCTCACCTGTACCGTTGGGGTGGCTAAGTCTTGTAGTTTGGCAGACGGGTCCAGGCATCCACGTGTTCCCTTCCCCCGTCACAGGCCCCAGTCTCCTCTTCATCACATACGCGGAAGCCATCGCCAACATGCCAGCATCCACTTTCTTCGCCATCATCTTCTTCCTCATGTTGATCACTCTGGGCCTGGACAGCACGGTGAGTGCATGAGGAGGGAAGTGGACTCTGGGAAGGGAGGGTCCCCATGCCCTCCTTCTGAGCCACCCCAGGCACTGCTGGCTGCTGCTTCTGGCACTTGACAGCTATCTTGTATGATTGGTAATGACACTTTCACCTCTAGTGTATTTTACTGGAAAGTCAGATAAACAGAGGAGGAGAGAGAGGAAGATTTTCCATCTGATGATTCACTCCCCAAATGGCCACAATGGCCAGAGCTGAGCTGATCCGAAGCCTCTTTCAGGTTCCCCACATGGGTGCAGGTCCCAAGGCTTTGGGCTGTCTTTGACTGCTTTCCCAGGCCAGAAGCAGGAAAGCTGGATGGGAAAGCAGGGCTGCTGGGATTAGAATCAGTGCCCATATGGAATCCTGGCACTTGCAAGGTGAGGACTTTAGCCACTAGGCTACCGCACCGAGCCCAACACCTCTAAGTATCCGAACCCGTTACATCCTATTGTCCTATGTCTATATAGGACACCTATAAAAACTTAAAATGAGACTACCTGCATTGTGGTACAGCAAGTTAAGCCACTATTTGCAGCTGGCATTCCATACTGAAGTGCTGGTTTGAGTCCTTACTGTTCTGCTTCTGATCCACTTTCCTGGGAAAGAAAAAGATGGTCCAAGAACTTGGGCCCCTGAGACCCACGGGAGAGTCCAGGGTGGAGTTCCTGGCTCCTGGCTGTAACGGCCATCTGGGGAGTGAACAAAAGGATAGGAGATCTTTCCTTCTCTGTAACTCTGCCTTTCAAATAAACAAATGTTTCATATATTGCATCACTAAAGTAAGTATTATAGCATATAAAGATTTGCTGAACTGACAGCTTGAGATTTAAGGGGTTAAGATACTAATGGGGGTGGGGAGAGGAAATCTCAGCCTATGGAACTGTATCATTAAAAACGAACGGGGTGACGTGGGGAAAGCATATGTGGCCTGGTGTTTTGTGCTGACACCTCAAGGCCCGTCCCCCTCGAGTCCGTCCCCTCCAGCATTGCAGCTCAGCGTGTTGACAGCGTGTCTCAGCACTGAGCTGGCCTGCGGGTATGACCTGGCTCCCAGGCCACCTCAGATTCCCACCAACTTTTTTTTCCTGTATGTTCCTAGTGATGGATTCTAACTGGCTCAGAAATGCAGGGAGGTGCCCTTACAGATATTTGCATGGGCCGGCGAGTCTGGCCAACTGGTCACCATGCACTTGAGCGCTCATTCAGTGACCATACACCTCCCCCCTGTGCACTGCTGCGAAGCCTCCGCGGTCACCATCCGTGGGTCCCTCAGTTTGCAGGCCTGGAAGGGGTGATCACGGCAGTGCTGGATGAGTTTCCACACATCTGGGCCAAGCGCCGGGAGTGGTTTGTGCTCCTAGTGGTCGTTGTCTGCTTCTTCGGATCCCTGATGACCCTGACTTTTGTGAGTACCATAGCAATCCTCTCCGAGATGATGCCCTGCCCTTGGGCAGCTGTTTCTGCCATTTACATTAAGTTTTGCATCAACAAGCAGAATGTTTTGAATTCTTTGTGGTCGTCAGAGGCTCTCAGCAGGTGTACAGTAGACCCAGCTAGATGTCAGGTATGCCAACACATGTGTAGAAACAGTGGGACTTGTTTGTCCAGTCTCTTCCCACTCCACAGGGTGGCTTTCACAGGAGTGCTGCTGTGATGGCCGGACTCTCGCAGGCGATGCGTCTGTCTCCTCAAGGGATGGCAAGGACAAAGGAGTCACACCTCCTCGGTGATGGCTTGTGTAGTACTAGCTGGGATGAATCCTGTACAGTGAGCACCAGATGTCCTGTGCTGTGTCCTCCTGGGCATCTCGGGCCATGGCGCCAACAGCTCTGGGGCTTCAACAGGGTGGAGAATTGTAGAAATCGGGACAGGGTTAGGACAGACGAACTGTGACCAAGGCACTCCGTGTGTCTGGTGTCATGTCTTCCTGTCTCTTCAGAAGAGGAAAGTCTCCAGGATAAAGGCACACGGGAGGTACTCTAGAAGAACAGCTCCTAGGCCCTCACGTGCCCTGTAGGGCAGGTACAGCTGACAGGTTTCACCTTGAAATCTGGCCCACACAGCAAAGGTCAGCGCTAGAGGCAGGCTCTGAAGTTCCCAGCATGGACCTCGTAAGGGAAGCAGTTTCTGGGCCATGCACGAGAGGGCCCTTCACCAGGTTTGTGGGCTCCTTTTCAGGGAGGGGCCTACGTGGTGAAGCTGCTGGAGGAGTATGCCACAGGGCCTGCGGTGCTCACCGTCGCACTCATCGAAGCGGTTGCTGTGTCCTGGTTCTATGGTAAGAGGCTTCCTTCTGTCAGCAGAAATCCTTCCCTTTTCAAAATTTCTTACTCAGAGACTGACTGACTACTGGAAACTTTAACCACAACCCTGCACATACAAGGGCCAGTTCCTGAGGAGGGTTCACCTTTTCTCTAGGTGAACAATGAAACCAAATGTATGCAGACATTCTAGGAAGGCAATATGGGCATCAGATGAAGCATTAGCTCTCTGCAAATGTTCATAATTAGGCTGCTGGTTCTTTGCAACAGGCTTAGCTTGTTATAAAAAAATATGTAGTTTTAGGGGCCAGTGTTGTAGCATAGTAGATTATGCTGCCACCTATAGCTCCAGCTTCCTATGTGGGCACCAGTTTGAGTCATTTATAACCCGGCTCCCTTGCTAATACCCCTGAGAGAACAGCAGAGGATGGCTCAAGTGTGCCTGCTTGCTGGATGGAGTTCCAGGCCCCTGACTTCAGCTGTTGTACCATTTGGGGAGTGAACCAGAGGATGAAAGGCAGAGTTACACAGAGAAACCTTTCAAATGAAAAAAAATATTTTAAAATCAATGTGGTGACAAGTCCTGCAGTCTTATTTTGGACCAGGTGGGTGTTCCTGCAGAAGAATTCCAGCTCCCTTCCTCCTGGTTACTTCCAACTCGCCCTGAGAGGCGGGGGACTGGGAACAATTCATGTGCTCACTCAAGCGCTCGCTCTTCTGGCTGTTTCAGGCATCAGTCAGTTCTGCAGCGACGTGAAGGAGATGCTGGGCTTCAGCCCCGGATGGTTCTGGAGAGTCTGCTGGGTTGCCATCAGCCCTGTCTTCCTCTTGGTGAGTTGTCATTGCCTTTCTTGGCATAAAGCCCTACACGCTTACCAGAAATCAATTTTATTGAAGTGTAACACATGAGAGTACTTCAAAAGGTATGTGGAAATGAGCTTTTAAAAGTTTAGAGAGCAGATACTTAGCCTAGAAGTTATAGAGGAGTGAAAGCTCCTATTTGCTGGTTCTACTTCCCAAATGGCTGCAGCTGAGCTGATTGGAAGCCAGAGCTTCTTCTGGGTCTCCCTCATAGGTGCAGTAGCCATCTTCTGCTGTTTTCCCAGGCTATTGAAAGAGAGCTGGATGGGAAGTGGGGCAGCCAGGACATGGACCTGTACTTCCCAGTATTCAGATACTGCGGGTGGAGGCTTAGCCTACTGCTACTCCACAGCCCCGGCCCCAGCCTAGTCGTCCACATTTCCTGGTTCCAGCTCCTTGCTAAAGCAGAGCCTGGGAGGCAGAGGGGATAGTTCAAGTCCCTGGGTTCTGCCTTTCGGGTGGGTGGCCTAGACTAAATTTCTGGCTTTTGGCTCTGAGGTCCAGCCCTGCCTATGAGCATCATTTGGGAAGGGAACCAATGGATAGGAGCTCTTTCCCTACCCCTCAAGTACATGTATTTTGATATAATTTTTAAAAAATCTGTGCATATGAGGGGGTTTCCAAAAAGCTCATGAAACTACATATTATGGAACAAGTGTACCACATTTTTTTGCACCAAAATAATTTGTCAATTCCATTTTAAAAACTGATCAAAAGTATTTTAAAAGACAGAAAAGTGCATCTCAACATGTTATAAATTGAGCATATCTGTGTAGATAAGACTATTTCAAGAAAAACATAACCAGCTTTCAGAAGCTCCTCTAGTAAGCACCCCCAGTCACTGTGCCCAGCATGCTTCCCCAAACCCCTTCTGACTCCTAACACCTGGAGTAGCTTGTTCTTCAACAACTTCGTGCATCACTCCCTTGCTCAACAATAATGATAAATAACAAGTGACTAACAATAATGATAAATAACAAGACTAATAAGTGCTGTATTAAACTTTCATCCACTGTTCACTTAAACTTCTTAACTACTGTAAGTAGTTGATAGTCTTGGTCCTTTCTGTACATGTAGATGATGGATAACAGGTGTATTCTCATCTATAATCTGTAAAATCCCTCCCTTTCATGCCCTTGCATCTTTGCCTCGTGGTTCCTTATTGTTTGATTAGCTTGCTGATGCTGTTAGGAAAAGTGAAGGCACATTTTTATATGTAGATGTTTTGGTTGCTTTCAGTGAGAGTATGAGAAACAAGCACTATAATGTTTACCATTATCTACTGTAATCCTTCCACCTGTCTTTCAAAGGGAGAAGAGAAACTAAAATAATTCCTCGATTGTGGGAAAATGTTTGTGGATTTGCACATGTCCACAGCCCAGGCCTGGAGCAGGCAGTGAAACATTTACCATGGATATAAATTTAAAGAGGGCATCAAAATGATCCTCATTAAAAAATATTATTTTAAAGCAATATCTGAACTCCATGCAAAAATAACATTTTAACTAAGCACAGGATCCAATGCTTCACTTCTGTGCTCACCTCACTGTCTTACCCTACTCTGGAGCCTGTCATTTTAAAATTGCCTTAAAATAGTATTTATCGTGATTACTGAAGCGGTGGCTGTTGCTGCAATATTGAACCCAAGGTGAGAATCTCTTGGTCTTACCCTCAGGCTTTTAGGATTTTCGTTCCTGTTGTCTGGAACGAAAACGAATTGCCAGTTGTCTGGCAGAGAGGGCAAAGTCGGAGTATGGACTGAGTTCCTTTGCCCAGCAACACCCAGATGGAAACACGGTCAGGTCTATTACTCAGAATTCTCATGATGTCAGTTTTACTCACCACCTCTGAGGCCAAGTGCTCTAGTACTGTTAAGAGAAGGCCGATCTTGTCTTCCACGTCAGAGTTAACAGATCCCCGGCTCTGGCTTTCTAAGGCTACTTTCGGTAAACAACAAGTAACTTGCTTAAAATATTCATTCTCACCAAAGCCAAGTTCCAAGAGAAGAAAATACCGTGTATGAGCAAGGAGAGGCTGGGATGCATGTGAGTGTCTGCGAGCAGCAGTGCGAACGTTCCCCGCCTGACCAGGCTGGGTGGGGCCTACCTCCCAGGGGTGAGCAGAGCTGTGGCTGAGATGGCTGCTTATCAGTCCCACCACTTCCTTGCCCAGGATGATTTTCCAGTTGCAGGTCTGAGAATGGGTTGCAGTGGATCGGGCTGTTGTTTCGAAGGTTCCTCTTGGATAACACTGCTTAGACGATAGATGCATGTTTAACCACTTCCCATTTTATTACTTGGAGACAAAGAGAAAAGTATATAAATAGTAATGTGAATTATTTGTGTGGTTGAACATCTGTCTTTCACTATGAAATAATAAAATTAAACAATAACCATTTCGGCACATGGTTACTAGGCAAAAACTGATATCTGCACTCTGGGAGCCAAGCTGCAGTAAGAGAACTCATAGAGGAGGAGCTGGGAACACACTGTGTCGGTTTTTTTTTTTTTTTTGGTCAAAATTAAAGTGAAAAGTTTGTTAAGCTGACTTTCCCTTCTATAATTTCTTTCATTATGCAGGCTCATGGCCTGCAGTCCTTCATTTTCCACAAGGAAACCACAGGCATTAGAGCTTCCGGGTAGCCAGGTGAAGGGACAGCCCCAGAAGCCCAAGTTCTCACTGGGTCTTAAACCTTTAAATCTTCTCTAAATGTCAGGTAACTTAATTCTGACCCAAAAGAATAACGGCTGAGGGCCTGGCACAGTGGCCTAGCGGCTAAAGTCCTCACCTTGAATGCACTGGGATCCCATATGGGTGTCGGTTCTAATCCCGGCGGCTCTACTTCCCATCCAGCTCCCTGCTTGTGGCCTGGGGAAGCAGTCAAGGACGGCCCAAAGCCTTGGGACCCTGCACCCGTGTGGGAGACCTGGAGGAAGTTCTTGGGTCCTGGCTTCGAATTGGCCGTTGCGGTCACTTGGGGAGTGCATCTTCAGAGATCTTCTCTGTCTCTTCTCCTCTCTATATATCTGACCTTGCAATAAAACAAAAAAACAAACAAAAAAAAAAAGGAATGACAGCTGAAAATTGTAGGGAAATGAAAATACAACAGAAATCTAGGTAGGAATCTATAAGCCTCGCTTGGAGACGTCCCCAGACCCTTCTGTTGTTCACTCTGCTGGGTGCAGAATGAAGCTACTTTAGGAACAAATTTTAAGGTAACCTTGCACAGAAGTCAGTAATTTTGTGTGTGCCAGTTTGGAAATATGGCACGTCTTGGGAATTAACAAAGTATCTTAGCATTACAAGTACTTGATATTTTTGTTATCAAAGCTGTTATCTTTATGGAAATCATTGTGGTTCTTCATGTTTCTTGGAATTTGCTTCAGTTTATCATTGGCAGTTTTCTGATGAGTCCACCACAGCTACGACTCTTCCAGTATAATTATCCCCACTGGAGTATCATCCTGGGTTACTGCATAGGGACTTCGTCTATCATCTGCATCCCTGTGTATATCATTTACCGGCTGATTGTCACTCCAGGGACATTTAAAGAGGTAGGTACCTCTGTCGGTAATTGTGGCACAAAGAGATTCTAATACTATATTCAAAAGTATCATTTTGATGGCATGCAATTTGCCAAGAAGCTTCCAACTTTATATTCTTAAGTACCTATCCCATGGTGTAAACCTGTGACCCCTGCCATCTTAAGACATCACCCAAAGTCTGCATACAGTGGGATTTGGGTGCCCCATAGCAGTCATCCTGGGTTGGCTATAGCTTTCCACATTCAATGGCTGTGTCCCCTTGCCGCTGGGCCTGGACATCTGATCTGTGGTCTCTGGTGTGATACAAATTTTAAGCCAAGATTATGATGGAAAATGTCCATGTGACCAGTAGTATTCTATATCTTGTGATGAAAATCATCACAAGATAATGGTATTCCAACAGTATTATAGTTTTAGTTCAAACAATGATAATTAAAAGAACTTGCCATGTTAAGACGCAATTTGGTAAAGTGCTACACACATTCTAAGAGTAGTACCTTATGACCTGTAGCAGGGCACACTGCCCCAAGTGTCTGCATGCCGAGGATCTCATTTTGATATCCAAACACCTGTGGGACAGATGTGTAGATACTATCAACAGGCAAGGACACAGGGGTTGGGAATAATGCTATTCAAATGTTCATTCAAGTGGCTGGAACAAGAATACATAGTACAAGGAGGCTCAGAACCCGGGCCTTGTGAGTTGTGGTCTTCTCACATTTTAGGGGAGCTTCCCCTTTGTCAGGGTTAATGGAGAGTTAATACAGAAATTAGTGCTAATGGTGCTGCCAGATTCTGTGGCTTAGCCATCAGGATCCCAGCAGTACTGAATTGGACATGACCCAAATTAAAATGACTTGTTATGACCTGGGTTGCATTCATTGCCACAGTAAGATTGCTGCCACTGGCACTGGAGCCTGAAGCAAGGATCCCTTACAAGCCTGAAGTTGAGTGCCTTGACAGTGGATGAGCTCAGAGGTAAAGGGTGGGATCTGGGGGCAGCTAAATGGACTATAGTCTACAGTGACCCAAAAACTGAGCTGGGTTACACTACTGTCTCTTACAGCAAGAGTCAGACAGGAGGCCATCACCTGATCTTCCTAGAATATTTCCTAAGAAATACTGTTGTGGTACTGCAGGGTAAGCTGATGCCTAGGACATCCATGTCCCACATCAGAGCCAGGGACTGCGTTCCTGCTACCTTCCTGGGAGTCCTGCATGGAGTACGTGGCTCTTACTTCAACCTGCACTGGATGGTTGCAGCCACTTTGGGGAGGGATCCAGCAGACAGAAAATCTTTGTCTCTCTCTCATCTTTCAAATAAAAATAAACATTTAAAAAATGTATCAGGGTCTGGCAGTGTGGCCTAGTGGCTAAAGTCCTCGCCTTGAATGCACTAGGATCCCATATGGGTGCCGGTTCTAATCCTGGCAGCTCTGCTTCCAGTCCAGCTTCCTGCTTGTGGCTTGGGGGTGGGGGGGGGTTGAGGACGGCCCAAAGCTTTGGGACCCTGCACCCGAAGAGGTTCCAGGTTCCTGGCTCCCGGCTTTGGATCGGCACAGCCCCGGCAGTTGTGCTCACTTGGGGAGTGAATCATCGGATGGAGGATCTTCCTCTCCTCCTCTCTGTATGTCTGACTTTGATAGTTTTTTTTTAAGAATTATTTTTATTACAAAGGTTGGTGCCATGGCACAGCAAGTTAAGCCTCTGCTTGCAGCACCAGCATCCCATATGGCTGCTCACCTGTGTCCTAGCTATTCCACTTCTGATACAGCTCCCTGCTAATTGCCCAAGTTCTTGAGACCTTGCACCACACGGGAGATCAAGAAGCTCCTGGCTTTGGACTGGGCCAGTTCTGGCCTTTGCAGCCATTTGGAGAGCAAACCAGTGGATGGAAGATCTCTAATTTTGCCTTTCAAATAAAAAAGAACTTTAAAATTTCTTTTTCTAAAAAGGAAAACTGAATCCTCAGTGGACAGAGTTTTGAAATGACTGATTTCCTCACCCAAACTAGTCCTCTTAGGGCCTTATTCCTCCCAAAGAGCCTTGGACTCTGATGTTCCTACAACATATTCTCAGAGCTAAGGGAACTAAGCGCATCCTGTCCTGTTATCCTTTATGGCAGTGGTGATGACGCAACAGCTAGGCTGTTTCAAATCAGAGTCTCAGGTGAGGGATGGGAAACCTAGTTAATAAATGTCAGGGTTCTTTATAGACTGCACCTCAAATCCTAGACCTCTTTCTTGAGAATTCTACCAGTTCCTCACAGGGCAATGCCTCCCAAAGTATGTAAATCACAGAGCTCCTGATGGTGAAGCCTGGCTGCAGGCCAGGGGGAGGGCACTGGGCTTCCAGGAAGCAGCCTGACTCAGCCTGTCAGAGTAGGGGGAGGAAGAGACCCACTCAGCTATGGTGCTTCACTTACCTGCATCTTCCAGATGTGCTCAGATGAGATGAACATTCCCCAAAGAACTGACACTGCTGAAGGAAAAGATTAGGTTAATTTATGGAGAATACCTGAGTTTTCTTTACTACAAGACTTCCCTGAAACTTTTAACAGGCCCAAATGTCTGCTTAAGTTCTTTGAGGGAAAAGCATTTTGTGGGTTTTGCCAGGTACCCTGAGGTACCTTCATTATTCTCTGACTACTAAGCTTGATGGTCTGTAATCTATAAAGAAAGCAACCCTCATAAAAGTTTGGTCTGTTAAGAAATTCACCCTTTTTTTTAACTCGTTGAGCCCTGGCCACATAAGCTCTCAGTAAATTCATTTCAGTTGAAATCCCACAGCCAGTGTTGCACAGCAGGTTCAACGGCAGCTATGATGTTAGCATTCCATTGCTGGTTTGAGCCCCAACTCCCTGCTATGATGCCTGAGAAGTGGAAAATCTTTTTCTACCTCTGTCACTCTGCTTTTCAAATAAAATCTTTAAGGAATAGATCGTCAAAAATATCCTAAGGAGACAAGTATCTGGCACAGCAGTTGAATTGCTGCCTGGGATGTCCCCTCCCAAACTGCAGTGCCTGTATCCAGTCCTGGCTGCTTTGCTTAAGATCAAAGCAGCCTCTTGCTAGTACACACCCCGGGAACCAAAAGACGATGGTTCAGGTACTTAAGTCCCTCCACTGCAGGCAGTTGGAATTCTGGACTCCTGACTTCAGCCTAGCCCAGGCTCTGGCTCTTGCAGGCATTTGGGGGAGTGAACTAGCAGATGAAAGATCTTTCTCTGCCTTTCAAGTAAAATGGAAATAGAAAAGGATTATGTCTATTTGAAAGGCAGCAGAGTTCTAGGGGCTAGGGTTAGGGAGAGGCAGATCTTCCATGTGCTGGTTCATTCCCCTAGATGGCCCTAATAGCTGGAATTGGGCCCATCCAAAGCCAGGAGTTTCTTCCAGGTCTTCCGGGTGGGTGCAGCAACCTAAGCACTTGGCCCACCCTCTGATGCTTTCTCACATAGCAGGGAGCTGGATCAGAAGTGCAGTAGCTGGAACTTGAACCAGCACCATATAGCATGCTGACACCACAGGTGGCAGTTTTACTTGCTGTGCTACAGTGCTGGCCCACCCAGAAAATAAACTTTAAAAGAAAACTTTGAGTCGGAAATACATTTAAGGTGAAGCATTTCGCCTAATGGCTAAGACACTCACATTCACCTGAGAGCACCAAGGATCCATTCCCAGCTTTGGACTCCAGCTTTCTCCAGAGCAGGCAGTGGTGACGATTCCCTTGGTTGGGTTATAGCCAAGCATGTAGGAGACATGGATTGTACTTCAGGCTTTGACCATTCCTGATCCAGCCACTGCTGAAATTTTGGAAGTGAAGTAGCAGATGACTCAAAGAAAAAATAACCCCCCAAATGTTTCACACACATAAACCTCTTGAACACCTTACTTTAGCAACATGAATGCTCTATATGGGCTGTTCACCCTCATAAGCATATGGTTGACTGGGAATTGCATGCAGTGTCCAACATTGTGAGAAAGAATGGTATCTACTAACTCCAGGAACATCGCAAACTTCAAAAATATAGTTCTGCTGAATGCATATTGTTTTTACACCATAATAAAGTGAAATTCTGAAGCCCAGGCATGTGTAAGCCAGGTGCTGGAGGTGTGCCGCCACACCTCCCGTGGAGACTGTCACATGCACCTGCATCCTAGAAGTGTCAGGTTGAAGTTACCTACAGGCTCAGGTCACTGTTGCAAAAAAATCCCGACGCCCTATAGATTCTAATCAATATAAGATAATAAAGGGTCAGCTGAAGGAGAAAAATTGGAAGCAACTGTCTCAACCACTTTCCCACATTCCTTGACCCTTCCCACCTGAATCGGTGGTCCACATGGGCATACATCCTTCTCAACTATGTAAATATAAAAAATAAAATGTTAAAGTGGAGCGGGGCTGCCACGGGAGTCTAGTGGCTAAAGTCCTCACCTTGCATGCACTGGAATCCTATATGGGTAATGATTCCAATCCTGGCAGCCTTGCTTTCAATCCAGCTCCCTGCTTGTAGCCTGGAAAAGCAGTTGAGGACAGCCCAAAACCTTGGGAGCCTGCACCCATGTGGGAGACCTGAAGAAGTTCTGGGCTCTTGGCTTCAGATTGGCTCAGCTCCAGCCATTGTGGCTGCTTGGGGAGTGTGAATCAATGGATGGAAGATCATCTTCTCTGTCTCTCCTCCTCTCTGTATATCTGACTTTCCAATAAAATTTAAAAAACAAGTCAGCTATAAATCATTTCTTAATTAGCTAGTTTCTAATTTGCTGAAGGCCAAGGCCTAGCAAATTTGAATAGTCAAACAGTAATTCGGCAACAGAATGCTTCCAAAAATGGACTACAAGCTGGGCCTGATACTTGGGAAGATTAGCAGCCAGCACATGTGGGTAGGAGTGAGGACACAAAAGCCAGCAATTTTACTTTCTCATGTTCATTGCCAGCCTTGCCTGCAGTGTATCTCTCAGTGATCTATGTCATAGGCTCATGAGACTGGTTGAGATGTGGGTCCACTTCTCAACTAGCAAGACATCATTCTGTATAGTCAGAATTAATATATTCACCTAGGGTTATAGGTGATTTTGGAAATGTTACTTTCAAAGCTGTGGCATGCCATGCTGGCTAGCGAGACTACAACTTCTTTTTAAATGGGTTTGTGTTGTGAAAAAAAGTTTTTGAGATGTTATTGACTATGGCAATGAACTCTGCTGAATTCAATAGATCCTGCTTCTTATAGGATAGCAAATTCCCAGAATCAAAAAATTCATAGATGTGTAAAGGGAACTACAAACTTTTTCAATTCAGAATAAAGAAAGACAGTAGGAATGCTTCACCTAACAGAATAAATACAAAGATGCTTTCCTTCAGATCCAATTTTGCCCACTTACCATACATCAGAGTTTACTAATCGACTTAATAAAGATTTTTCTAAGTCTCTTCAGTGCTGCCTTTCCCCCTTCTGCGTCCTTGAGCTGCTCCATGTCACTGTGATGCTAAGCTTTACAAAGTGGGCTGTATATTCATATGCAAACCCAAATACATTTCAGACCTGTCTTAATGCTTCTATGCATCACATAGTAGTAATTCCATAGTAGGAATTCTCAGCCGCCTCCTTGTGACAAGTACTGTATCAAACCAAGGCTGCTCTATAAAACTGAGGTTTCAAGTAGTCATGTCTCTTAAAATTTAATGATGAGGCTGAGGATGCTTGCCTCCCATATGGCTGCCAGTCTGTGTCCCAGCTATTCCATTTCTAATCCAGCTCCCTGCTAACATGCTTGGGAAAGCAGCAAAACATGGTCTAAATGTTTGGGTCCCTGTACCTACAAGGGAGGCCTGACTGAAGCTCCTGGCTTCAGCCTGGCCCAGCTCTAACCATTGCAGCCATTGAGGGAGTAGATGAAAGACCTCTTTTTCTCTGCCACTCCTTCTATCCCTAGAACTCTGGCATTAAATATATATTTTTTTAATTAAAAATACTTAATTAGGAGATGACTGGTAGTCATGCATTACTGTCCCATTTTGCTTCACAGGAGGCTCCAGGCTTCATGCCCTTTGGCTGTAATGTGTATGCTGGGCACAAGAAGCCTAACTGGGGACAGGGAAAATCAAAATCTAGCACTCACTCTGCACCTCAAGCCTTCTGTGACCATGGGAAGCCTTCCCTGTCAAGAGAAAGGTGTCCTTTCCCAAGTCATTCAAAAGCATGTTATAGGCTCATCAACAGCATTGTAACAATTTTCTTAATAATTTCTGAATGTATCAATTTATCCATATTTAAGAATTGAGAATTTTTTTTAGGATTTTTTTTTCTATTGGAAATTCAGGTATACAGAAAGGAAAAGAGACAGAGTAGAAGATCTTCCATCGGTTGATTCACTCCCCAAGTGGCTGCAATAGCCAGAGCTGAGCCGATCTGAAGCCAGGAGCCTTTTTTGGGTCCCCCCACGTGGGGACAGGGTCCCAAGGGCTTGGGCCTTCCTTGACTGCCTTCCCAGGCCACCAGCAGGGAGCTGGAAGGAAGTGGGGCTGTCGGGATTAGAACCACCAGCCATATGGGATCCTGGTGCATTCAAGGCAAGGACTTTAGCCACTAAGCTACTACACCAGGCACAGAATTGACAATTTCTTTCATTTTCTTTCCAACAGCGTATCATCAAAAGTATCACTCCAGAAACACCAACAGAAATTCCCTGTGGAGACATCCGCTTGAACGCCGTGTAGCACACTGCTGTAGGAGCATGATGGCGTCTCAACTTCTCCCCATTCTGACAAGTCACACCTCACCTTCTCCCCTTGGAATGAAAGAGTTTCCAGCTAAACTTGCAGACAGAAGGGCCCCTAGAGACACGGTCCTAGAAGACTATGGTGCCCAGACTCTTGTGGCTTTCAGCCACTTCTTTCCATGGAATCTTCTGGACATACTGTCACATTAGACTGTGTCACAAAGAGAACTGGCCCATTGCAGGTGTGTGAGAATGTATATGGAAGTGATGAGAATCATCCTATCATCAGTTAGGCTTAGGTTTAGAATCAAGTCTGTAAAAGTTTCCTGTATCATTTGTTGTTACGGTCACTGGTATCTGCTTCCAAGAGATTTCACTGTTCTTGAGTGCACAAGCCATGTAGGAGGAAACAGGGATGTTGCCTTGTTAACTACATGTTTTCTGAGTAGCATAGAATTCTATAGCTGGAATCTACTAGAATCCTCTGATCCACTTGCAGCTGTGAAGTCAGGAAAGGAAGATGTAAAAACTAAACATAATGTGTACATGTTAGAATGCCTGTCTGTGTGTATTGTTTGTGTGTATTCTTTATTCTAAGACTTTGGGCCCATTATAAAGTATATGAACTTCCTCTAATTTTTTTTTAACAATAACAACTTCTACCTACTCAAATGTGCTTGTTTGTTATTATTTTAAGTATACAGTGACTACAGAATGCTCAGTCATCTGTTTCAGTGACACTAGTTAAGCCCACACACCTGCCTGTGGGGGCCAGCCTTTGGCTTTGCTGCACTTCACTGCCCTCTTCCTCTTTGTTGAACACTTGGGTAAGTCCACAGTTCAACAGTCACTGTGGCTTGGCTGTGAACTACTTTGAAGATGGATGCTGACACGAAAACCTTCAGCATTCTGCTTGCCATCTGGTTTAAACTCCATCCACTTCCAATGACTGGTGAAGAGAGGAGACATGCTATTTTCATCTAACTTTCAGGCTGTAACTGATCTGCCACCTTAACTGTCGAGGCATCCCCAATGTAACAGCATTGAAGAATCTGGGTTAGCCTTCAAGGGACCTCGGCCTCTGTCTTAGTCCCTCCTGGTGGTTATGATTTAAGAAGTTCTCCAGTTAGCTTTCAAAATTGAGTCTACATAAAGCTGATTGGGAAATGGCCAGTTAAGCGAAAGGCCTTTTCTTCCTTGTAAAATCCTAAAATATGAATGAGAATTTGGCCCTTGGCGGCTTGTGATTCAGATTCATGAGCAGAGAAGCAAAATTTGCCTTGTAGTGTGGAATTTCCTTACCAAAACCTCGAAGGGAAGAGTCTCCTCAGGAATAAAAGGAATTTGAATCATAACTGCAGCCTTCCACATAAGTCAAATTCGATTCTAACAACCTTGTCAAAAGGACCAATAGCAAAATTCTGGATTCCTCTAATTATAGGCTGTCTTCCTGTGGCTTCCTTACCCAAATTGTCTTCCCCAGTCAGCTTCCTGTATTCTACTTTTTCTAAGTTTTTTTCTTTCCTTAGCATAAAAATGTCCTTATAGATGCTAGCTGTTGAGAAGTTTCTTGAGATCAGGCAGAGGAAATTTAAAAATCTCCCTTTACAGACTTACCTTCACTGTCTTCATTCCTCTTGCTACCTGATTTCCATTCTCTGCTTTCAAGCATGCTGAAAAGAAACAAGTTGCAAGTGTATTCAGTAGCAAATTGGATATGGATTCTTTCCACTCCTCAGACACTAATGTTTTTAAAGACCAAGATTTAAATGCAAGTTGTGCTCATCACTCCTCAGGTGTCACTGATCCCCGAGGTCTCTCAGTGAACATAACTCAGGCATGTGGGTACACACACATACATCAGTAATTACTTCTCTCCCTTGAAAACTGAGTTCATACCAGCACCTTCAATTCCAACCCTACAAAGTTGGTTCTAGTATTTTCCATGCTTCACTTTCCCTTCCACGACAATGAGAGAAGCGTGGCTCCCACCATCCCTAGTGCCTCTCACTTGATCAGTAGTCCTGTACGTAAGCACTGTTCCAGTGCTGCTGCCAACGCCCTCTGCACAGAAGCACCTGGAACCCTGTTTAGATTCTGATCCTTATGCTGGGACGGCTGCCCTGATCCCCATCCCAAACATACACACTCTTCTCATTCTGTCGCTTGCTCTTGTTGGTTAGTCCCCATACCACCCACTGCCTGGGGGACTTCCCTACCCCACTGAGTTTACACCCTATATGGACATACTTGGGCCGAAGCACTACGTAGACCTCTCCTACACAACACTCTTCCGGTGTGTTTATGACATCTGACCATAATAGAATTATCTCGCTCAGCTCAGCCCAACCCTAGGGGACAAGGCAAGAAAACTGTTACTGAAAAGGAAGAAAAACATCCTATTTTCTCAAGCAGCACAGAGGGGAAGAGGATGGGTGGGCCTTGAATAAAGTCCCTACTAGGGGAGAAACTTCTGTAATTAAGTACATTTCTAAACTCTTTCTCTGAAACCCTCAACCTTGTCACTAACTACTCCTTTAATTCTTCTTTAAGCCTTTGCCTTCTACAGATTTAATTTGCTCCCCACCCACCCACTTCAGAATTCATATTGAAACTTAATCTTCATCAAAGTGGTACTAAAAGATGAGGCCCTCAGGGGAATTAAGTCATGAGGTCTCTGTCCTCATAAAAGGATCAGTGCCTTTTCGATTTTATTCATTTCCATTCTCCATGAAAAGCAGAAGGATACAACGAGATTTTCCACCTGCTGGTTTACTCCCCAAATGCCAGTACTGAGTCAGGTGAAAACCATGAGGCTGGAACTCCAGCTCTGTTCTCCACTGGGGTGGCAGGGACCCAAGGATATGCATCAGCAGACAGCTGGGTTGGAAGGTGTCTGGGACTCAAATCAGGCACTGCAATATGGGGTGCAGATGCCAACTGATGACCTAATCACTGTGCCAAACGCCTGGCCGCAGGATTAGTACTATTAAAAAAATGGCTGGAGGAAGTTAGTTTAGGCCTGTTTTTTACCTCTTTCATCCTCCTGCCCAGAAAACACCATCAATGGAAAAAGCCCCTCTCCAGCATTTTGAGCCCAGTCTCCCAAAACTATGAGAAATAAAATCCTGGAAAAATTACTAAGGCATAGTAGAGTAGCACAAAAGGAATTAAGATATATCAACCCAATAAATGAATACTTAGCTTAACTCCTGGCATATAACTAGCAATTTGCTGAATATCTGAATGTTACAAATCTCATGTCACTTGTCTAGTTTTACTCCATCCTACATATGATTAACATCACACTTATAGCCAAAAATTTAAAAAGGTTTTGTATGCATGCAAAGAAAAACCAAGTAGTATGGAGAAGACTAATTCCAGTCCTTTCTCAGTGACTAGCAAGCTAAGTAAGCTTGGATGATAATTCACTCAACTACTCATTTCCTCATGGGTAGTACTAAAGGTAAGCTAATCATGATGGTAAATACTAATACTTGTGTGTTTATAAGATCAGGCACAGCGTGACACATGCCATCTCAGGAAATTCTTTTGCTGATCTTAAGTGGTGTCACATGACTTGAGGTGTTGCAGGGCACCACATGGTAGGGCAGAACACAAGAGACCTAGGAAAGCTGACTTATACAGCAGATCCACTTGAGACAAACATTATTAATCCATTTATTACATGAATCAATTCATTTATGAAGGCACAGCCCTAATAATTTCTTAAAGGTCCCATCCTCTATTACTTCATAATGGAGGTTAAATTTCAGCATGCATCTAATGGAAGACAAAGCATACTGATGTGGCAATGTGACGTAGCTGGCAGAGCCGCCACTTGTGATGGCGTTGTCCCAGCTAGGTGGTGATTTGAGTCCCTCAGCTCCACTTCCTATTTAGTTCTCTGCCAATGCACTTGAGAAAGAAGTGGGTCATGGCCCAAGTGCTTGTACCCACATGGGAGACCTGGAAGAAGCTGCATTCTCCTGGGTTTGGCTGGCTCCAGTGCTGACCACTGCAGCCATTTGGAGAGTGAACCAGCAAATGGGAGATCTTTCTCTCTCCTTGTAACTCTACGTTTGAAATAAATAAATTAATTAAAAAAAAAATCTTCCCCATGAATTCCTCAAACGTATGTCTTTGCCACAAATCTACAATCATTCTTCCCCAACAGTCAAAGAAGCAACTTCAAAAGTCCCAAGTCTTGGGCCCAGCGCGATAGTTTAGTGGTTAAAGCCCTCGCCTTGCATGCCTGGGATCCCATATGGGCACCGGTTCCAATCCCAGCAGCCCCACTTCCTATCCAGCTCCCCGCTTGTGGTCTGGGAAAGCAGTAAAGGACAGCCAAAGCCTTTGGACCCTGCACCTGTATGGGAGACCCAGAAGAGCTCCTGGCTCCTGGCTTCAGATTGGCTCAGCTCCAGCCACTGTGATCACTTGGGGAGTGAACCATCAGACGGAAGATCTTCCTCTCTGTCTCTCCTCCTCTCTGTATATCCGCCTTTGAATAAAAATAAATCAATCTTAAAAAAGTTCTAAGTCTCACCTGAGACTCGAGAATTCCCTCTTGCTGTGAACCTATAAAATCAAAACAAATCATCTATACCCAATATACAATGGTGCAATGGGTACAGGGAGCACATTCCCATTTGAAAAAGGAGGAATAGTCAAGTAGAGAAGAGTAACTGAAGCAAATCAAGTCCAAAGCTGAGCAGGGCAGACATTAAATCTGAAAGTTATCTAGCAACCTGGGTACAAGCGTGGGTAGGGATCGGGTCCCCAAGACCTGGCGCAGATTAACACCATGGATTTGCTGGGCTTAGTCGATATTTCAGAGTTGCATGGCTGCTGCTCTCCCATGCTGGCATTACACACTGGGAGTTCAGGGATCTCTGTCAGTCCCGTTCCTATGGCTTCATCCAGCATTATCCCACTACACTCTGTGGCAACTCCACCTCCAATGAGGGCTTCTGTCTGGCCTCTCGGAACTTCCTTTAAATGACTGAAAACTGCCATGATGCTGTTGTTCTTAAATTCTGTGGGCTTGCTGTATTAGCACCCCATGGATACCACCACGGTCAGCTACTTCAAGGATGACAACACAAGTTATACTTGAAATGACCAGGGAACGTTACTCTGGGTTGAGGGCAGCAAAAACACAAGCCCTGGACAAGGAATGAATTCAGGGACCTTGGCTGGGCCAGTTTCCTGAAACAAATGTAGGCCTCTGGACCTGAGATGCCCTTCTGTGCACTGTTGTGATGCACTCGCCTGGATTTCTATCTTTGTTGATGCTTTTAGCAAGAACTGGCCAGGTTACATATTTATTCCTTCTCTTTACACAGGCAGGCTGCACTTTTTCCAGATCTTCCCATTCTGTCTCCCCTTGGTCCTTGAATCCCACAGAAAGTAACCAAACGCCACCAGGAAGCAACCTGAATGACTTGCTGCTCAGTTATCTTTTCCACCAGATTCACACCTTTTCATTTCAGCCTTCCATCGAACCCCAGGGAGTGGACATAATGCAGGTCTTGGTTACTCCCTAACAAGGGGATGGCTCCTTTTACAATTTCCTATGAAATAGTCCTCATTTCCATCCAAAAACTCATTGGCATGGCCTTTACCGTCCACATTTCTAACAGCACTCTAGTCATAGTCACTTCAGAACCGTCCCAGTCTGCACCCTAGTTATCTAGTTTGCAGCCTGCTTCCAATACAAAACATGCATTAGAAGCAATAGTTCCACCTCTCAACACTAATTTTCTTAGTCCATTTTCTATTGCCACTAACACAATGTTAGTGATAAAGTGAAGTTTTGACTCACAGTTCTGGTCCAAAGTCAAGGGGCTGCATCTCACAATCCTGAGGTACTGCAGAAAGGGCACCTCATGGTGAGAAACACTAAATTAGCTCTCAAGGTAGACCTACTCTTGAAATAACCCACTAACTATATGAACAGACTTATCTATGCATGAAGGTAAAGGCCTAATCACCTCTTAATATCTTTTAGTGGGTATTAAATTTCAACATGCTTTAGGAGGACAAACCATATTTAAACAATAGCATATGGATACCAGACCTTGTCTATGGTTATTCCAGTTTTCAAATGCTGATTTTAAGAAATACTTCAGAGATTATCAAGACAAATGAGTTCAAAGCCAGAAAAAACTTTTCTTGATCTTCACTCATTGCAGTGTTACTATCTGCAGCAGGCACTGGCCATACCATGCTGAACAGAGCTGGATCCTGGCCCTTTAAACAACTGGCACACTATGGTTACACTCTAAGGCTGTGATAGCATTATGCAGGGCACACACAGGGAACTCGGCAGGGAGGAATGTTGAAAGAGAGCAGTATTAAGAGAGGCTTTCTGGAATCAACAATACTTCCATCAGTTTTTAAAATGAGGTGTCAGGCCTGGAGTGATAGCGCAGTGGTTAAAGTCCTCACCTTGAATGTGCCAGGATCCCATATGGGTGCCAGTTCTAATCCTGGTGGCTCCACTTCCCTTCCAGCTCCCTGCTTGTGACCTGGAAAAGCAGTTGAGGATGGCCCAAAGCTTTGGGACCCTGCACCATCTGGGAGACCCGAAAAAAGCTCCTGGCTTTGGACTGGCTTAGCTTCAGCCGTTGTAGCCACTTGGGGAGTGAACCATCGGATGCAAGATCTT